AAAGAAAGAAATATATATAAAAAAAGTAAAATAAAGAACAAGTAGGAAATGTATTTCAATCTAACATGTTTCACATTTATTAAGGCTTCGTCAGACATCGAGAATAGAAATGGAAAAGCAAAGAAAGAGTATGTCGAACAATCACGTGGTCAAGATAAACACTCAGTTGTGGAGTAAGCTGAGTGAAATACTAATTCAACATTGAGAAAGAGAGCTATTTATGGTGCAATAGAGCATCTCATTATGCTAAAGTGGGATAGTCCATTGCTTGGGCTGTGATTGGCTGCTGGTACCTGAGTGGAAGTATTTCTATATAAATACCAGCTTGATTCCTCAGTTAGTTTGCAGGGTTTGTATTAAGTAACAACCTGCTTTATTTTTGTCTGCCAGCTGGACGCTAGCTGGGACTCTTACGCCGGTAAGTGTTGTTTATTGTATTGTTATTCTACAGAATAAAGGAATGTTATAATTTTTGGTTAGTTCTCATTGGTCAGACACGCGTCACGTGTATTAACGCAATAGATATTATATAAATATGTGTGAGGACTATTTTTGACGTTAAAGTGTATGATATTGTAAGTGCGTGTGAGTAAAGAAATGCTTGTGTATCTGGGTATATATTATACGGTAAAGTTAATTCACCTAAGTCTACAATGTGTATGTGAAGAATGTCTACAGATGTCATTCTCATATTGTCGGTGAAATTTTAGCGATATTTTGTAATAATTTTGTATTTGGCTGGATTTTTTTTATTCTGGTTTATGTGCATGTGTTGGGGAAGTCAGTGGTTGTCAACGAAGTAAGATATTGTAATAATCTAGTTTTGTATCTGTCTATATTTCTGAGATGAGGTATTATGTACACTATTTACATTATTCGGACTGTTGTCCTCATCTTTGTCGTCACATTTATCACAACGGCCATCTTCCGGTGGTTGAACTAGGGTAGACTGTTCTAGTTCCACGTGCCATGTCTAATGGATGTCAGTTATCAGTTATTCCCCTTCCAAGCCTTAAGCAGGTATTGAACTCACACTTTTGGGGTCCTGTCTAACTAACGCCTTTATCCACTGTACAATATGTCCTTGAGGATATCTGTGTATGAATTTTTGGGTATTATAAACCTAATGTCTTCAGCATCATCTTTTACCAGGGCTCATATTGCAATTTTTGCTGTTATCATTTCATGTTTTCACCAGAGCTCATATTCCAATTTTTGTTGTTATTATCACTTTTCTCTGGCACTCCTTATTACTGGTTCCCATATTGTATTCATTTCTATGCTTGGTCGGCTCAGGAGATGTTTGTGGCCTTGCATATGTGCTGATTCCTTAAGTTTACGAATTTTCTAATGATTTTCTTTGTCCAAGTTCTCAACCTGATACCACAGAGGGCGGTGATCTCAATTTTCTCTCCATATGTGGTCAGCCACGTCTGATTTTTCCACTTCCCCTGGTGTTAAAGCTTTCTGGTGTTCTTGAAGCTTTACCTTAAGGGGGCGGCCTTGTCTCCCCTTTATATTTCTTTCCGCAGCTGCACGGAATAGCGTACACACAGTCTTTAGTCATGTTCTCCTCTATGGGAGGGGTCTTACTCGAGAGAGATATCTGCGAAGTGTCGTCAATCTTTTGAAGGTTGTTCTCATGTTATATAGACCGCAGATCCTTTGTATTTTCTCTGTTAACCCCTTCTCATAAGGCAGGTAGACTGCTTTCTGAGTGTTGTTGTCCTCCTGTGGTATCCGCCTATCCCAGTTTTTTTTTCGTGGGTGGGGGGCTGCTGCCATGTACCCAGGGTAGTCCGAATAATGTAAATAAATCTAAATAAAAAATAATGTAAATAACCTACTTTTGGTTGAATTTATCATTTCTCATGCGTATTTTTGAAAGGGTTTGTAAATTTTCATTATTTTTATGTATTAGTATTGTAACCTAGGTAAGGTTACTAAACAGAATAATCAAACGAAGGTTGGTAATGAACGATAATACTTAGGGCAAGAACAGCACATATAAGATTCGCCAGCGGCGCGTAGAAGTAGTCAACTGCTAGAAGTGAGTCAAGTGAATTCCACAATGGATCTCCAACTGGAAGATATCTACCAAACGCCCCACGCAGTCAGAACTGGCACAAGGCCGAATTTAGTGTGGGGTAAGGGCCAAAAATTCCCCGTAGACCCAATATAAAACGAGGTCGGGTAGCTGTTTCCCGAGTCAAGACTTTGCCCTTCGACATAGCCTCCTCTAGGGATCCTTTCTGCTCGGAGGCAGAGAGTTTCTCCAACTTCAGGATATCTACCAATCGCCCTACGCGGTCAGATGTGGCACAAGGCCGAATCTGTGTGATATCGGGGCCTGTACGCTCGGCCAAAAGTTCTCCGTAGACCTCGTATAAAACGTGGTCGGGTAACTGTTTCCCGAGACGAGACTCTGCTCTTCGACATAGCCTCGTCTGGGGATCCTCTCTGCCCAAATTCATATAGCTTGACTAGCACAGCTGGAGACGAATCTCCAACTGTAGACCAACATACAGTATTTATTATTGTATTTATGTGAATGGGGACATATCCATCATCGTCCGCAGGTATGCTACAACAATTAGAGACGCATAAGTTACATGAATGGATCTATAAAAAAGATGGTGATGTGATGTAATGTTTTAAGCGAGTATTTACAGTTGATAGTAATACTATAAATATATTTTCAAAATATTTTCTCCTGAAACGGTTGTTTTATTAGGCTGGCATTAGTGAAATCAAAGTTATGTTCCACGTCGTTTCGAAGTAGGACGAGAGAGTTAGAATGTCTGTCTAAACGCAAGTCTCTCTTGTGTTCGTAGATCCAGGTTTTTAAGATCACGTGATGTCTCCCCCACGTAAATGTTTTTACACTGTAGGTACTCTTATCTGATACGTTCCGACATTTGAAATGGTGTTTGTTTACTTTTTCTTCCTGTTTATATCCCCGACATCTTCATTGAAAAATTAGAGTCCTTCCTAAATAACATCAGCACCTACACTAAAACCAATTAACAAACAATAAACAATGATAGTGTTATAGTGGAACACACCTATTCTATAGTTAATAGACTCTCCCACCTATAATAAGTAGGAGTATTAAGAGTCGCTCAGGGGGGCGGTCAGTCAGTCGACTGGCTGATCGGTTGAACTCTCTGCCTTTGGACGGGGAGAACCCGAAGGAGTCTACGCCGAAGGGCGGATTCTCTTTCGGGGAGGTAAACCGACCCTGAACCCGTTTATACGGGTTCAATGGGCATATTTTTGGCTGAGGCCACGGGCTCGGAGATCCCACGTTAAAAGGCCTTGTGCCACATGACGCTCTCGTGGATGGGGGGTGATGAATATTGCTGGTCAGTCAGTCGATGTCGGATGACAATCAGTCGAATACTAAAGCATCAGCGACCACAACTAGATTACTCTGCGTTATACCTATTATATCAAGTTCCTAACGTTTTGTACGTCGAACCTATTTTAGGACAGACTTAGTACAAATACAAGCCTACACTGTGAAATCACTCCATAACAGATAGACAAAGATTATAGAAAAAACAATAAGGAAACTGTTAAAAGACGAAAATAAATCTTGGTCTAGATTATTAAGGTTCCATTCCCACTATACGTGTTTGCTCACTGGCGATCTATGTTTGTTGTAGAGTAGTTTTCACAGTGGAGGCTTGTATTTCGCTAAGTCGGTCCTAAAAGGGTCCGACGTACAAAACGTTAGGAACTTGCAATAATAATTAATGACGCAGCAATCTAGTTGTGGTGGTTGATACTTCAATGTCCGACATCGACTGACTCACTCAACTCCACTGAGCTCAACTGGCGACCGCTACTACTACTACTACTTATTATGTGTGGGAGAGTCTATTAATAATAGAATAGGTACGTTCAGGTATAACAATGTTCAAACTCAAATGTCGGCAGCGACCTTAATTCCTGTATAACAGCATAACGCTTAACGCCGTGTATATAAATATTTGATGTTAAGTTCTGTTCTATGAACAATATTTGTTACCCAACATAGGGATTAAACTTACATCATTACGTCTTTATCTGTCTATCAATATAACACTAAAATATTCGTTCGAAAAGTAACCCGTATAGTGATCCGAATAGAGAAATAATATAGTGAATAGTATAGAGAATAGCTGCCCGTATAGTAATAGAGGATAGACTAGAAATAGTGATCGCCACGCTACCTCCTACTTATGCGTTTCTGCTATTGTCACATGATCTACTTGATTCAATAATGGTATCGTCTGTAATTGCTCACTGGCGATCTATATTCAAAGAGTCATATATAGCAACAGTATCGTTTTACAATTTTTCATCTACGCACTTTCGCCATAACACATATTTAGACAAGAGTGTGAATACTTTTTGACTTTTCCTCGTAATAATAAATGAAGTTGAAAGTAAACACTAGTCAAAAATGTATAATAATAGTCATAAAAAAGATGAAAATAAATGCGAGAAAAAGAATGATGAGAAAAAGTTAACAATGCTTAATCTCATAAAAATGGAGACGAAAATAATTACTAGTCAAAAGATCGACAACGGTCAACAATGTTTCATCTAAAACAAACTGAAAATGATAGTAAATACTTATTAGTAAGTAATAGTCAATAATCTAATAAAAAATGAAAGAGAAATGTCGAAAATGATTGAAATTGTTTCATCTAATAAAAAATAAAAATTAAAGTATCTATTAGTCAACAATTAATGATTAACAAAGATAAAAGTAAATATAAGACAAAAATTAAGAAGAATGCCTGAAAATCTAATGAATAACAATGCTTCATCGAATAAAATGTGAAAGTAAATAGTAATCAGAATTTAATAAGGTATGATAAACATTATCATTTCAAAAAAGCATTAAATTTATTAAAGGATGATCTGGATACTTGTTAGAAACACAGAAAATTTTGGCCTGAATTTGGGTTAAAACAGATGACCAACGCCAAATATAAGCACAGTAGGACCAAGATAGATAGATAGATAGATATGAATAAACTAAGACAGATACATTGATAGATAGACAGACATATAGATATGAATATAGATAGATAGATAGATAGATAGATATGAATAGACTGAAATAGATAGATATAAATGGTCTGCGGTGAATAGATTGAGATAGATAGATAGATAGATAGATAGATAGATAGATATAAATGTCTGACATGAATGGACTGAACCATATATATATATATATATATATATATATATATATATATATTTAGAGAGAGATAAAGAGAGAGAGTGGGAGGAGAGAGATTCACGTAACAAAACCGACAGCTGGGTGTTTCGCTCTGAAAAAGATACTCCATGCCCACCTCCTGATGAAACATAAATTGGTTGACAATCGTCCACGTGCACTTTTCAGATTTTCCTGTTGTTTATGTCGCGTGTTGAGCACACGACTCCAGTTACGTACGTACATCAACATTTGCCTTCTTTAAGGTGTGTTCACGGTTGACTCATTGATAAAGAAATGGATTGAGTGTGCCACGTTTGTGAACCGTTCACAGGTTGGAAATTTTTTTTTGTTTTCTTTGGTTTTGTCCTGTTTCTTTCACTTTTGAAAAGCTAGATTTGACAAATTGTCAGGAAATTCACCTAACCAAAGAAAGCGTATTGTAAATGTCCACTTGGACATACCAAAACAATAGCGGAATTTGGTAGCAAAACTTTTACGTGAGTGATAACAGAAGTTTTGGAGGATTTAATAAATCAACCAGCAAGTGTTAAGGAGCTTTATTTGGATTTCTTGAAACTCTGATTGGAAACACGCTCAACTGACATTGCATGTACAAATATTATTTAGTGCTGGATTTGTTGTTGTTGTAATATGCGTTTGGTTGCGAAAGGAAAGGAATAACGAGAATTAGGTTTTAGAACAACGTGTATTTGTTTCATATATATGGTGTCTTAAATTGATGAAATGCCAATTTCTGTGCTGATCATCACGATGGTGATCAGGTGTAAGTGTAGCGCCAGGAGTTGACCTGTTTCTTGTGTTGGTTTGACCGAGGACACCGAATATGATCGTTTGCACGTGTTGGTCGATCGTGATCACGGTGATGGGTCTATTCGTTGGTAGTCAAGGTAACGTTGTATAGGCGTGGATGGTAGGCTTGTTCTATGGCACGGTGATGACTGTAAAGGTGACGGCGGTGGGTTGCCTTGGTAACGAGGTTGCTGCTGATGTGACAGCAGTGGGTTATCGAGGTGATGAGTGTGGCCAGTAATCTACAAGACGGTGGTAGCCCGAGTGGATTGCATGTTTGCGGAATCGGGGTCGCTGCTTGCGGAGTCGGAGTCGGAGTCGGAGTCGCGTGTCTGAAGAGTTGGAGTTGCTTGTTTGCGGAGTTACTTGTTTGCAGAGTCGGAGTTGCTTGCTTGCTTTAGTCTTGAGACTGGCGATGTCGAGGCTGGAGAGTTAGTTACTGTAGTGAGTCAGGTTGGGTGAGGTGACGGCGTTCGCGACGCGGAAGGTTTGTAGCTAGGTTGTGTTGACGTTCAGATGGTATCAATCGCGGCGGTTTGTGTCTTGGGCCTGGCGGTTCGGAGGCTGGATAATCCGGGCACTGTAGTGCGTCAGGTTTGCCGATGTGACGGCGTTGGCGACAATGAAAGCTCTTAGCTTGGTAATGTCGACGTTGCGTTGTTGTCAATGGCGACAGTTGACGTCTTGAGTCTGGTCGTGTCGAGGCTGGATAGTCGGCTGGTGTAGTGAGTTAGGTTTGACGAGGTGACAGCGTTGGCGACGAGTATGGCTTGTAGCTGGGTGGTGACGATGTTGAGATGGTATTCTGGATTATGTGTTGCAGTTTAGTCGCGTGTTTAGTCTATTCTGGGAATGGTAATGGACGTTGAGAGGAGCAGTCATGTTGGTGGCAGCGCCCTGCCTGTTGGTAGGTGGTCTGCAAGTGGTCGTTACGGGAGACCTGCTTTTAAGCAGACCTAGCAGTACCCTGAGACATCTCGTTTTCGACGGGAAAGTTCACGATTGGCCAATATCGCTTTGATTGTGGTGGGCTTGCGTCGGTAACCGGGCGTGATACTCGGAGCCTATGCGCAGAGAACGACTTTTATATTTTGTTCTCTGACTTCATGGAGTTCACATGAGGCCATCACGCAGAATGAATCATAAAGTGATGTAATTGTAACGAGGTATAACATTGTTTTTTGAAATTTAATAAGCTGTATATATATATATATATATATATATATATGTGTGTGTGTGTGTGTGTGTGTGTGTGTGTGTGTGTGTGTGTGTGTAGCATAACAGTTATCAACACTGAGAGGGAAATCGCAAAACTAACTTAAAATTCCATTTCTCCCTATCCGGCCAGCAGGGTAGACTAGGCTCTATAAGCCCTCAACCTGATTCCACAAACTTCCGGCCGTGTGGCACATATTCCGAAAGTCTTTCATTTTATTAACACAAACTAGTTGTATCGGGCCCATTTAAAATCATTTGCAACCCTCTTGACAATGTGACAATCCAGCGGGTAGCCATTGTGCCACAAATGAGGAATTAGAAACCGTAAAAAGAGCTACAAATTGGAAATGCTTATACGTAGTTACTGGAAAGTTTCATGGAAATATGCCCTACAGCACCAACCATAAAAGAACAACTTGAGTAACTGTTTGGTACATTTTTTAACCGGGGATCTTGCTTTATTATTATTATTACCCTATCTTCTGAGCGGGTCTTTGTTTTAGCAAGAGTTCTTGCATTGTGGGCGTTCTCCATCATACTGCACGATCTCAAACAGATAACACCTTTCGCAATGTATTTGCCAGCCCAAGAAAGGCAAACTTCAGAATACGAGGTCCGATCAAAAAAGTATCGGGACTGCTGCCATGTACACAAAATAGTAAAGCCGCTTGTCACAGGTTGATCTTGAACTCTGTCCTGTATGCACACTAATTTATAACTTTCTCGCTCACATCCGTTGTTTATAGCAGAGCTTGGAAGGAAAGTGTGTACAGTGTAGATATAGAAAACGTTTTTTTGAAAACCGTCATAAGAGATGACAAGTCGGGGATCTATGGCTATAACTTCGAAAGCAACAATCTGTATTCTCAGGGAAAAACTTTAAACTTTCCGAAACTAAAGAAAGCCCGAATGAGTCGAAGCAATGTTCGTCGTAAAAAGACAGAATTGCATACGTCCAGTCAGTTGCAACTCCACAATGACAAAGCATCTTCTATTCAGCGTAGATTGTGCGGCAGTTTTGACACAGGACAACAATTCCTAGGTCCAGCAACAAGCATATTGCCCGGGTCGCAGCCCTTGTCACTTTTACCTTTTATCAAAAATCAAATTCCACTTGAAAGGAACAAGATTTCAAGATACCGGGGAAACCTAAGAGAATGCGAACTGCTCACTACCCTCGAAATTAGAGTTCAAGAAAAGCTTCCATTAATGGAAACGATGTGGGATAATGAAATAGAAAGGGGTAAATCCCTGACACAGGCCAACATTGACCCTAAGACACTTAAAACCACTGCTGCAAATTGTCCTTCCTGACGTGGGACCCACATCCACCACCCACACTCCTCTGCGGCTCTTGCTCCCGGCTCTTCAGGTGTAGGCTGGGCTTTCACAGCCATCTCCTCCACCAGAGGGGATTGTGATAATAACGAACTACCCCGACATACCCATTTCAATACTAACCACTCTGTATAAAAGCCGTCTAATTACTAACAATTCAATTCAGCAGAATAAAGCTTCTAAAGTTAATATTCGGGGCTGTCTGTTCGTTACATGGAGAAAGGGAACAAGTGGTTGAAGCTAGTGGAGATTTTATTGAATAAGTTTACTCTTTAGTATTTCAAGATATTTTTGTGTAATTTTTGGAAAATGTGCCTGTTAAAATTAGATATCAGTGTTGTTTTCATTTTGGCGTTAATTTAGACGACAATTTATCCATCGCACCCTTATGAAGTTATAAAGGATGCAAACCAATGCCTGTCTATATATCTGTGATGAGGTAGTGTAACGATTTACATTACTCGCATTGTTCGAATTATTGCCCTCAACTTTATTGTCATATTCCCGACGTTTCGGGCGTCGTTCTTCAGATGAAGAAACTTGGAACTGGCACAATCTACCCCGGTAGACGAAAAAAAAAAAGGTTCGATTCGAAATTCCAACTTATATCCGCTGAAGAAGGTCGGGCAGTGCAAAGGCCGAAACGTCGATTCAAACCAACCTGGAGCTATATATCCTGCGCACCACAGTCGCCCTTGCCCCATACGATCCTAAAGGATTACTGAACTCGTGATCGTGAGTCATAACTAAACAGTTTTGAAATTGTTTTGCAAGATTTCGTTCTGGAGAAAGATCTTTGGATGATAGGGGCGCTCAATGGTTTTTGATAATCAAGCTCTAAGTGAACAGAGAAATAATCCTTTCCTTAAATATAGCATAACAAGTGCTGAAAAAAATGTTATATTATTTAGACAGAATAAACGGTGGATTAACATGTGCCTCGTAGGATCTTAGGGGTATTATTTATTTAGAGTTATTAAAACACAATGAAACACTAAATGCACAATTATGCATCCAGCAGCTGCAATCTGTCCATAAGTGCTAGACTGAAAAGCACCCTGCGATCGTCAATAAAAGAATATCCCCATGGCTCAATGGCGTTGATTGAAGTAATCTAGTGAATTGACTCAAAGAGTTGTGAGTTCAATACCTGGCAACAGCAGAGGTGGGCAAAAAACTTAGAGAGTTGAGTTACTAAAGGGAAATAACTGACACTGAGATATTTGGAAGAGGCATGAAACGTGGAACTAGAACAATCTACCCCCGGTGGACGAAATAAAGAGTTCGGTTCGAACTTCCAACGTATATCACCTGAAGAAAGCCGGAGCGTTCTTCATCGTGAATATGACAATAAAGATAAAGACAACAGTCCGAACAATCTAAATAGTATAGATAGTTACAATACCTCAAAAATATAGACAGATCCTGAATAAGGCCATAGCGTACAATGTCCGAAACGTAGTGAATATGACAATAAAGATGAGGACAACAGCCCGAACAATGTAAATAGTGTAAATAGTTAAAATACCTCATCTCAGGAATATAGACAGACTAGTTTTAAAACGCCCCATCAAGCGGCATTTAAGCTAGCTCCTGAGGAGGGCTTTTGATTGGGCCTT